AAAAACGATCAATCAAGCTGGGAACACATCCCAGAAATGCTAATAATGACAAATTGACAGCACGACAAGTGTGTGTACGTGGCTGATTATGACAAAATACTATATGCTATAAATAATATTTGCATAAGTAAAACAAAAAATGAGAAATGAATAAAATATGCAATTGCACAAGATTAAAAAACATAAATAGCTGATTAACACTTAAGCAGACAGTGTGAAAAACTGAAAAACGTTACAATTAAATATATATGTACTTGTAGACAAAATATACAATTTAGAAAGCACGCACAAGATGGGAATAATTAAGAGAAAAATGTTCGTATTTATGTAGACATAAATAACAGAAAATAGAAATGAAAAATTATGTGAAGTGAACTTAAAAATAGAAAATAAAATTTTTAACCACCAGCAAATGCGAAGTGAAGTAAAAGCAGCGCGAGACAAATTCAATGTTCCATATATCCGCCAAATTATGTACATATGTATATATATGTGTGTGTTCTTATGTACTTACATATTTATGCATTTTTCTAAATAGCCATTTAACAGCCGTCCGCCCACTAAGCCATCTCTAAACACATACATACATACATACATATGTACAGACATCTGCTGCTTCATATGTTTGCAGTTGTTTATTTGTACTGTGTGTGGATGTGTGCGCGAAAGCACAATTTGCAAACTGAAAGTCAGCGCCATTGCCGGCATGAATGCAGACACATGAGCGTATGTACATATGCATATTAGACCGAACCACCTTACAAGCAAAAAAAAAATGTTCGACACAAAAAATTAACAGAACCAACGATATATTATACCTTAAGATCCGACTGTAAATGCCGAAGATACTTATAATGAAAAATGTAAAATTGCGACCCCTATATTCGGCCATTAAAGGCCTTAGTAGCATTTCCAGCACGCGACAAAACGATAGCACCTCAACACTTTTGACTATTTATATTTTGTTTGTTTAATGTTAATTATTTCGATAAATGTGCAGCCCAAATTTTAATTTCTAGAATCATTTTTGATTTTTGATAGTTTTTTCTCTGAGGGTATCACATATTTTCTTCCATACAAAGTATTTTTTAAAAGGAAAATAGTGCATAACACCGCCAGAAAAAAAATTCACAAATTAATGCGATTTTCAGCAACTGCAAACTGCATACAAAAAAATTAATTTAGAAATTCTAATTAAATTACTTGGAATTGGTATGAAACGTTTGTGTTATTTGAAGAGTCAGCATTTTTGAAGTTTACCGTTATATGAAAAGTGGACGTAGAATACTCTACATACAAATGTCTTAAAATTTAACATCGGACTGAAAATAATGAGATTTTATGGAGGTATTTTTAAATCGGGTTAGCTCATGTAAGTCTTACTATTTTTCCGAAATATTTTGGCGGTGGAGAAATCGCAATTTTTTTTTGGTGAGGCATACTAATGTACATATATATGTATAATACATACACACATATGTATAAACTTATGTATTTATTTCTATACATTTTGGTAATTTTTTGGTTTTTGCCATTCAGTTTTTGGGTTTCTGTTTTTTTATTTGGTGCTTTCAGAAAGCGGTCATGATGCCACAGCATGTTGACCCAATTAAGCCTTTCATCTCGTTAAACTTTGACTATTTCTCCTTTTGAAAATATCAGTGAGAATGTGTGCGTGAGCATATTTATAATTGGATTATTGTGTCGCGAAAAATGCATCACAGAGGTTTTTGAAATTTGGTTTATATGGTTTGTGCGGTTTAATTAGGGAATTTTCATATACAAACGTATGCATATACCTATGTATGTATGTAAAGGGTGGCTGATTTAGATATATTAAATTATTTTTATCGAAATAGAATATGTAAATGAGTACATAAAATTGAATTTGCTTTCATTCTGAAGGCTGAATGTTCGAAAACTCCCTTGGGCATTGAGACCGATATATCGGGGAATTTGTTTTGACTTTATGAAACCCCGTAAGAAAAAAATCCAAAAGTGTAATAGCGTGCCATGAATTCGGCCAGGTGACAGCCCTGAAAAGTGAAATTAACTGCTCACCAAAATGGAAATTCAGATGACTGACACGCATACATACATATCCATTGAGTCACAAATAGGACCCGTCGGTGAACAAAATTTGACGTCAAAACATTGAGCAGCTGCATAGGCCATCCACTGTCGTTGACAGCTGCTGTAGCCATCCCCTCAACCTTGTCAATATCTTGAAGAGGCTTGCCACCTGTTTATAAAGTCAAATTACTACAATATGGATATCAATCGAAATGGCTTTGAAAAAAACTTTCTTTATTTCTAAATTACGTGTGGGAAAAAAATTTAAATCCAACTTGAAATAGGTGTACAAGTTAATTTAAATATGTATCACAATACGGGTGTACGGGGACAAAGAAGTTTAACAAGGTTTAACTTTGAAAATATTTTGAACAGTGTTGCCACCTGTTTACATGGTTAAATTCAATATGCCACAGGTTAAATTAATGATGAAAAATAGAACCTAAATCAAAGTGGCTTTAAAAAAAAATTATTTGCAAACTGCATGTAGGAGGGTTGCCACCTGTTTTAAAAATTAAACGTAACTTTAATTAAAGGGAATTAGATAATTTATATATGTACCCCAGCATGGGTGTCCGATGAAAAAGGTTTAAAAAGGTTTTGGTTTTAAAATTCTATTAAACGGGTTGCCACTTTTTGTAAAGTCGAATTTAATTAAAGTTTGCATAAACTACATGAAATATTAAAGTTTGGGCGTCAAACGAAGGAGTAGTAAGAAATCCTTAGTACGAACACTTAGAATATTAAAGAGAGTTGCCAACTGTTTAAAAATTTAAAGCCAAATCATTTTATAGGTTAAAGGAATAATTAAAAGATGGTAATCACAAGAAAAGGCTTTATTTCTACACTGTATTTATGAGAGTTGCCATATATTTAAAAAATCTAATTCTTCTTATTTTTAAGCTGATGGTACCTATGCTTGAAGTTAATGTGGTTTTACTTCTCTATTCCTAATTTTTAATATTTCGTATTCGTATTAATTTTTTAAACGCAATTTAATTTAACTCTTCTCTAGGTTTAAGTTTAGGGTTTGTGGCTGCGACACAGCTCGCAGGTCAAGACGAAGGCGCTGGGCTCATTCTTTTTTTTCTGTTAAAGTTCAACTGTAATTAATGCAAACATTCTGCGATTAAACAAAATTTTAAAAGTAAATTTGCACATACACATCTACATATATACTAAAAAATTAGCTAATCTCTTTTCATGATACTAATGTAGTTCTTATAAATAATCGCCTGTCAAGATATTTGAAAACTTTTTCGAAATCGCAATTCGAATATCGAATGAATTGGGTAACAGACATAAACTCTTTAATTTAACAACGTGTGAATATTAAAAGATTTAAAGCACATATGTAGATAAGTGGCAAACGTAGGCAAAATTTATACAACCAACAATACATTCATACAAACTAATTACTAAAATACATGATTTTTTGTTTTTAAAAATTTCTTTTACGATTTCATTCTTCAATATGTACGATCGCCAGCAAGCCAATGGCAGCATGAACGTCACCGCCAACTTCCAACATCCACCTTCACCGCTATCGAAACATTAAGATACATATGTAANTTAAAAATTTCTTTTACGATTTCATTCTTCAATATGTACGATCGCCAGCATGCCAATGGCAGCATGAACGTCACCGCCAACTTCCAACATCCACCTTCACCGCTATCGAAACATTAAGATACATATGTACATACATATGTACGTAGTTAGAGTGTTGGCCGATTGCCTGAGCGAAGCTAAATTTGTAGAATGCGTGGGCGTTGGAGTGGATTGATCATGAGCATGATTATGATGTGGCCGTCATATAGCCGAAGATAATCATAATATTCATGGCAACAGATTTTCGTGGATTTTTTTTTTCTGTTTTGCTATATTTTAATAAAAAAAACATATGGTACATGTATATGAGTTTACATTTGTCTGTGCGTAAGTGTGATGAATTTTTTGCACGTGCGTAATTATACTAGATATACATATGTATATTAGGACGGGTCAATTTTCTTTACTATGCACGTAAGAAAATTTGCCGAAGAAACTGTGGGTCTAAAATCAATTTAGAGTTTAGAAGAAAGTGTAAAAATTTTCACTGTTGCGCCCTCTGGTGGAAATTTTACGAAAAAAATAAGTGCAGAAATGGATTATTCATACCAAAAAACCTCTTATAGCATGCATTTTATACAAAATTGAAGCACTTATTTCTGACACTACAGCAAAATGCTAGGACACCTATTTTCGCAAATTGGCAAACTCCAAATTTGCTTAGAATTAGACGTTGAATCATNGTTTAGAAGAAAGTGTAAAAATTTTCACTGTTGCGCCCTCTGGTGGAAATAGATTATTCATACCAAAAAACCTCTTATAGCATGTTTTTATACAAAATTGAAGCACTTATTTATGACACTACAGCAAAATGCTAGGGACACCTATTTTCGCAAATTGGCAAACTCAAATTGATTTTATGATCATGATATGATTTCTTCAGCAAATTTGCTTAGAATTAGACGTTGAATCATCTGTGCTGTGTTTTTATATATTTTTATTTGTTTACACCGAACGACGTCGGCTGCTCTGCTAGTTAACAATAAAATTTAGAACTTAAATACCCTTTGAGCAACCCTGCATATAGCACATAGCATCCTATCTGTTTGCTGTAGCGCATACTTCAAAGTAGTGTCAGAAGTTGAGTTTTTTTTTTGATGAGTAAAAAATTTTATAAAGTTTTGCAAAATTGAGTTTATTTACTATTCCCCATTTCGGATAGTATACGCATATTTGTTTTCTTATTCTTACATTTTAACTATATCTTGCTATCCAGTTGTTAAAACTAACGATATTTCCGAAGAAAAAATCCTTGAGTGTATTAAAAACTTACCACTAACATTTTTGTGTATTTCTGCTTTGAAAATTTGCAGTCCAAACTCATCGTCGAAGACAAAACAATGTGCCGGCTGCCGAGTGAAGTACGTTGAGGAAAACTGAGGAAAAGCCAACGAAAAATTTGGACTTATTTGCCAACACATTGAACAGCAGCTTAGTTTTATTTAAGTGTTGTGAGTAGATAATCTGAAAATCAACAACAATTTAACCATTTATTTTTACTCCATTACACAGATTTAAGTCAATAAATTAAAGTTTGAAAGTCCCAGTAGGCATTAGTACTGCTCGCCCAACCAGCTCAGCACCAATCCAACCACAACATACTAGTTCACCACACCAACCGCGCAAAAGATACTCACCACTCATACATACAATTTAACTGCAATTATCGCCACGCTACACTACCACTACTACCTACCTAAATACAACAAACATATTACAACAAACATAGAGTAACAAAAGATGGGCAAAGATTATTATAAAACACTGGGTCTGCCGAAGACTGCCACCGATGAGGAGATCAAAAAAGCCTACAGAAAATTAGCATTACGCTATCATCCGGATAAAAATAAAGCCGCAAATGCGGAGGAGAAATTCAAAGAGGTCGCCGAAGCGTACGAAGTGCTCTCCGATAAGAGTAAACGTGAAGTTTACGACAAATATGGCGAAGAGGGCCTCAAGAGTGGAGGTAGATTGATTATTTTCTATACTTAAATACTTTTAAAACTCAATACTAGATATTTAAGATTTAAGACTTTGGGTTTGCCATCAAATATTAATGGTTTTTATGTAAAATTTTCCCCCCGGTATAGGTAAACGCAATGGCACTAGCGGCGGTAATTCGTTCACATATCAGTTCCATGGCGATCCACGGGCGACCTTTGCACAATTCTTCGGCTCCAGTAATCCGTTCGCGTCCTTCTTCGATATGGGCGATAATCTATTCGATAAGAATGTGTTCGATTTGGATACCGAACATGATTTCTTTTCATCCCCATTTGGCGGTTTGGGTTCACGGCATGGACTCGGGAGTGGCTTCAGGTATTGGAGATTTGTGTTTTAAAATTAATAGTGACCTGTCTGCAATTTCACAGTGGGCCCACAATAATTGTCTTTGCTTAAATGCTGCAAAGTCGTATGTGTTGCCAATTAGTAAACGTGTAGTACATGTGGAAGATATTCCAAAACTGTTTGTTGGTAATAGCGTCCTGATTATGACTGACAAGATAAGAAATTTAGGGTTTGTTGTTAATTCTATGTTGAGCTGTTCTGACCATGTGAATAATGTTGTAAGTAACGTGTATGCTGTTTTACTTAGATTAAGAATGTCAGCGTCGTTTACACCCTTAGATACAAGAAGAAAGCTAGCTGTTCAGCTTATAGTGCCGCAGATCACGTACTGTGGGCTAGTGTAGCAAGTTTGACTCTATTTCGTTTCACAAAATTGATGTTGCGTTTAATAACGTTACACGTTACGTTTACGGTCTCAAAAGATACGACCACGTTTCTATGTGGAAAAACAAAATTCTAGGATGCAGCATTTTTGAATACCTAGCGGCTAGAAATTGTATATTTATGTATAAGCTTATAGAATTCAAAACTCCAAAATACCTTTTTGAAAAATTAAAATCAACAAGGTCTAATAGAAATCAAAGTCTGATTGTCCCCAAATGTTCCTACTTGTCTTCAGCTAGGCTGTTCTTCATTAATGCTGTACGGCTCTGGAACTCAGTTCCTGAATCCGTAAAAGCAGCGATGAATCGGAGTAACTTCAGAAAGGTATTGCATAATTACTTTAAATCTGCACAATGAATGCGGTTGCGATTAAACTGTTATCATTTCTCTGTCTCTGTCACTTCTACTATTAAACCAAATTTTGTATGTTTGTATTTATATTTATATGCCTGACCTTTTATTATATCTGGCCTTAAATTTTAAGTTTTAATTTTAATTTTAATTAAAAATACAAATATTAATATTTTTTGTTGCTATTTGATATATTGTTAGTTTTAAGTTTACTTTGTACAAACATTGAATTTTAAAAACTGTTGATGTATAATAAAAGACTCAAAAGTCTTATAGATACAGCCTCATTTCTTAAATAAATATATGAAAATATCAAACGATATATTTCATTGGAAAAAATTATGTTGAGATTTTTTTTTTTTTGGAGAAATAATAATTATTTTGGAAAAGATAAAGCAGTTTTAGCAAAACACGAATATAAATTTTACTTCGATTGAAAATATACATATATGTATGTATTTAACCAAAATGATAAATTTAAAAAAAAAAACATTTTTGCGTAACGAATACTGTTTTGGAGTAATAATTTTTTACGGAAAATTATTGTCTTCCCTAAAATAATAATTTCCATTGAATTTAGTTTTAACAGTACTATTTGTTTTTGATGAAACGACAAAAAAATATATATTTTTTGAAAAAAAAAATTTATTGACAAACAATAATTTTGGAAGAACATAATATTTTGGCAGAACATATATTTTTTACCAAAATTAAAAACAAAAATATTTTTTGGGAATTTTTTTTTGTTTGTGGGAAAGATTCTAAACTTGCCTAATTTTTGTCTAGATATTTTCATAAAATTAAAATAAATATTTGGGACTAAAAATATAAAAATATGAATCACAACTTTGCATTGGCATTAGTATTTTTTTAACATCAAAATTTACAGTTCAAATCATAACTTCTTTGAAATAGGCTTATAGTGCTGAAAGGGTTAACATCGAGTGCAAGGGATGCCGCTGAAAGTTGATTAAAGTCGATGGGCCTGTTGGCGAAAAGACTCTGAAAAAGTTTTATAAAGAACTATAAATATATTAAATTGCCTAATACTTCGGAAATTCTATTTTTACGGATGGGTCAAAAATGGTTTTCTGTATGAGAGCGGTAATCTTTTCCAAGTGCCCTTCTAATGGAAATATCAAGCGAGCTTTCGAACTCAACATACAAGTAGAAATACATAGTATTGACTACAGATCGACCGAGAACCCACTTCGCAGACAGGCAGCAGTTTGGGCCTTAAGAGAACGTTATGGCTTTTGTCAGCAGCCTTGCGTTGATCTGGGCTTCGGGGTGTTGTATTGACCACAATTCTTAGCAATGGCGAATCGAAGACGGTATAGCTTTAGAATCTAGGTCTGCAGAAATATATGACCTTTCGATTGCTTAAAACGGATTTCAATTGAAACTAACTAAACAGAAAGGACTTATTTAGCTTTACTACGGTTTAGACAGAACACTGGACCTCAAGCACTCACGCTACTAAAATGTTACCGTGTCGTCGCCGTGACTCGTGGAAGCGGTAAAAAGAGTGGAGCCTATTATCTGCGTCCGGTCTGTCCGCTATAGAGCCAGAATAAAGTCTCTGAGAAAGCGTTCCTTTGCCGCATGATTCGGATGCCATTCCTTATTAAAACACCTCCTAATATTTTCAATGGCAACCAAGCGGCTAAAAAATGTCTGAGAAAATATGACACCGGTACCAAAAGTAGTTGCAGCCGTATCTCTCAGCATTCTGAAACATTTTGCACGCACATGGTCTGGGCTGCTGACTGCAAGCGTGGTCACTTTTCAATAAGGCGCCGCGCAGCTAAATCAGGATCCCGATGGAACGCATACTGCAGTAACTGATTTAACAAACACATGGAGTATCTTTTGTAGCAATGTCCGCCACTACCTAATCATAGAGTAAAGTAGCCGTCCTTTCTAGAGTGACCCAGACCAGTTATAGCCACCGCCTTGCACGAATACACAGTTCCTACAGCATGAAGGCAATCGTTCCTTGCGCCTATCATTGATCTAGATGATTTTCGGTAAAAATATATTAGAAACCTTTTAACTAAATACCAATTTATTTTTAGCCGAACGTGGATAAGTGCAGACAACATGCGGCATTTCAAAGTCCTCAGTCTAAGTTAGTTCCAACCTAACCATAGGAACCTCATCACTTTGCTAGCCAGGCTCATAATAGCCAAATTTTGAAATTTTTTTGCAGTAGCACAGTGACCAGTCTGATCAGAAACTATGTAGAGGGAATAAAACGGAAGCCAGGTATGAACTGATTGCCTAATCACTTAAGGTATGTTAGAAGCTTAAGCAAACCTTAAATTTCCTCCGCCACTTCTTCAACAAATTCTACCGACTAACTTCGAGATTTTTAACTATGTTCTAAATTGTGTTGTACTTTGAGTTAGGCGGGGACTAGTCGGACGCACTTAAGTGTGCTATGGGATGCCTTCGCCTTAGTAAGACTTACCCAGCGAATCCCAAACACTACCAATTACGGTGCATAGTTTTATGCTGAGCAAGAAGTTCCTGATGGGGTGCTAGCATAGGGACTAGCCTCCAAGCACTTGCTTGGAGCCGAACGTCCTTTGCGACACGTGAGAAGCCATCTTATGGACCTTAGGGTCAGTTAACACCTTCACCAACCACCGCTTCGTGAATGCCATAATCGGATAGCTCGAGTTGCCTTGCAGGGTTAGCTCCAATACGTGAAGATGCCCTGCGCCTTACTAACTACTTCTTTACATTCTAACTCAAACTCATCCAAAAATCCTATCTCTGTTGTTCGACCTTAGCAAAACTGCTCATTACCTGGCCTACTTTTAGATGAGATTGTCGATCAAACTTAGTCCAATAACTGATTTATGCAAAGTTTAGTCGTCGGCATATATCGACTGCTGTGTGGAAGATCGACTTATCTCGGCAGCCAGTTCGAAAACGCCCTATCTCAAAAAAAACTTCTCAAAAACGCCCTAATTCAGAATTTGTTAAACTACGTGTTAGTCAGTGGCGGGCTCATGAGGGGTGTTTTAACACCTAAATCCCATTCGCCCAAGTAACAAGTAGTCAGCTATGAAACGAATCTTAAGATGTCACCATAAGACATCGCATATAAATTGGTCCTTCGATTAAGCTGATATACGGGCCAAATAAGTTTTGCAATTTCACAACCCCAAATTGTATTCCCTTAAAGGACCAACTACTCAACAAGTGGAGGCGTATGATTCTGTTTATTTATCTTATTTTGACTGAAACCCTTTTCTCGCTTAAGAATATCAAGGAATCCTCTGTATAATTTGTCGACAGACTAATATCCATAAAAGTGTTGATGAGCTGGGATCAAACATAAATATATCAAAACGCTAGTCATCAGGATTCTACATTACTTAACTACCTTTCGTTTGGCTGCAAAAAACGCCAGGGATAATATCCTGTGTAGCCATACACGTCCTGAAAGTGGTGTTGGTTGGTGCTGCGTAACACTTTTCGGTAATAGCCTGGCAAATGGAAAGGTTGTCTCACTCACAGAGAGTTTAAGAAAACAAGTGCCCCAATTTTACGCTCCATCTTGAAGCATCGGCGTATAAAGCAGGCAGTTGTAAAAATAGGCTTATGCATGTAACCCAGTTTTTTTTTTTAAATCGCCAGCAAATTCTAATTCCTTTTCATCCTTCTATTATTTAAGTCAAAGCCAACCTCAAATTGTGTGAGTTTTCAGATATGTACACACTCCAACT